TTTTCTACAGTGGACCCGCACATACACAGTTTGTGTCACTATTTGCCACTTGAATGGCTCAAAACTCGTCGGAGTTGGCCCCCCGGTGACTATCTTTTGCCTATCGGAAAACGCGGTCAGCCTATCCAAGCCCTCAGTGCGAACTATTCTGACCTCTCGGCACCGGTGTCCAAATTTGCCTGTCCTGCTGGCTTCCATCGAATCCTTCACGAATACTCCACCCATGAGGAGGAATTTGACACCGATGGCAGTGGAGAGTCGGTCTCGGGCTCCACGGTGATGCTCCACTTCTGTCAACACAACCAATTCATCAATGAATCTGCCAGCGGAATGGCTGCATCTTGGCCTAAGGGAGACTACTGTGTCATTGTAAATGGTGCCATCTGCCCACCTGAAATGCGTAAGTTACTTCATCTTCCTTCTTCTCAAAGTTTGTGTAGGTGGGTATTACCTAGAAATTAATTTGTGTCGTTGTGTTTGGTATGCAAGACGGCAGCAGCGAAAAAGTTTCTTGCCTCCGAGCACGTCTTACTGCCTTGTATTCTACGTACGAGTTTGGGCTTTAAAAGGCACTTGGATGGTGGGAACGCTTCATTGAAACAGTTTGAAGTGTCTGGCAGCGGTTACTCTTAGGATGGGACTGTAATCACTGCCAGAGGCAATGTTTCTTGCAGTGGATCGAGTAATTTGAGGAGCAGCACAAGTTGGGTGCTAACACAGTTTTCTGTTTTGACTATCGTTACTGATTTGGTTGATTCGCTCTTGAATGCTGTGTTTTGCACTAAGATAATGGAAAGTCAAAGCGCTCGGTGCCTCATCATCGGCACCCAAGTTCCGTTTCAGGTGTTAGGTAGGCGTCAAGGTAGATCACTGCGCGTAAAAGAAACGATGGTAGTCAACTTGCCTGACCCACTTGGTTGTTCTGTTTTCAGCATACTAAATTCGCACATTTTAGATGCATCGAATGAGTTGGTAATGCGAATACCACGCAGTCACTTGCGCGCGATCCACAATGCCACCGACTACGGCGACATCATTGAGGGACAATCAGTCGTAATGCCCAGTGACGCGCGATCCGTCACGTACTACTCAGTTTGCTGCCGTGAGGACAAACAGCTGTTGGTAGATTTGCCAGCCTTTTCCGGGGGCATGTACCTACCTGCTGGATCCAGTCTTTGCTCCAGCATCCCTGGAACCTTTATCGAACATGAACAGGTCTGCAAATGTGATGCTACTTAAATTTTATCAGCGTCCACTGGCTGAGGAGTCTTAAGGGAAGGGGGTGTGTTTGACTCAAAGGACCTTTGAGCTTGCTTTAGCTTTATCAAAATAGATGTCTGTAAGGAAAGTAAAGGTTTAAGGGCTTCGTTGAATGATGGACCTTGCCTCATTTTTTGTGATTTTTACTGAAAAGCTTCATTTGCATGCGTATAGTGCAGCGTCAATTAAATGTCACAATCAGGAGCTTTCAAAGCATAAAACAATGCATTTACAACATCGTCAGTATTTTACTTAAATGGCATCAGTAGAATGTTGTTTGCACTTGTAATTCAGATAACAACGTACCTGGACCCTACTCTGTTGGATCCCTATGTGGTTGAGGGAGGCGATGACGAGGAGGGCAGCCAACGTCAACAAAGACAACGTCAACGCCAGCGGTGGATGCCACCACCCTTCGAGGAGCCGGGTGTAATGACACTCTGCTACTACCACCAAATGCAGAAGGTTTTAACTTCAAATTCCTCTTCAGAAGACGGAGACATGCTGCATGAATTGCTTGAACCAGGGAGCACAGCGCTCTCATTGTGGTTAGCTGGTGCGTAGTGATTGCGGGTTTCTTAATTTCACCAATACTAAAAACTTTTAGTATTGGGTTGTGGAAAACTAGATGTCAAATTAATTAGAAGTGCCTTTAAATTTCACTAATGGAAGGGTAAGTTGCATCGCAGATTATTACAACCGATTTCATTCTCTTTGCTTTCGAATGCCTGTTTGGTCAAATTGTGATAATTACAATAATTACAATAATTACAATTACAATAATTACAATATCAGGTGAATGCGGATGTGCTGAGAACGCCATTTGTCGACCTTTCAAACGCTTCTCCTGCAAGTGTAAAAGGGGTTACTTCGGCGACGGCGTTCGCGTGTGTCGACAGGTTACGCCGCTCACCGGTCCCTGCGCTAACCTCTGCCATGAACATGCTGAGTGCAAGACACGTAGGAAGCACTCCTTCATTAGTAGAACGGTGAGGTGAAAGCACCCTACTTACTTTTGATAAGTAGACGCCAAATCGTGTTGATTGTGAATGTTTTAGTGGAACTTTTAAACATTGTAAATGAATTCTCATTTTGAGTAACGACATTCGGAAGCTTGTTTTTTAGCCCTAGAACTCATAGACACTGCATAACATTAGAGGGAGACTGGCTAGTCTTTGCAACTAGATAATCATCTTCCGGTTCTTTTGCTTGCCAGCGTCACCTTTGATCCTGCCCGTGTTCACTGTCTTGAAAATGAGAAGCTCTTTCAACCTAGCGTCGTTGCACACTTTGTTTGATGCTTTATATTTGTTTATAATCCGCGTTGTCATAAACATTGGCCCTGAAAGTAATCATTGCATAAACATTGAAGGCAATCATGCAGATTAAGGAGATCGTCATTTACCCGAGCTTTGCACTCCTTCGTTCCCTTTGAATAATTCCAGCACCCATATTTTGTCCCTTCTCCGATCTGCCGTTGTAGCTTGAAATCTTGTAATAGATTTCCTTTTATTGACTATGGATGCAAAATACGGCACATGAGGTGTTCTGAGTGTAACCTGATGGCCCTGTCCAGGCAACAAGGCAAATGCTAAACTGCCCTAATGTCATTGCGGATTCTTGTAGGCAGCCTTAAATTGTCTTTAATTTCCCGATATATAGTCAAGCAGATAGGGCTACAATGGACTGCACCTTCGTACTTTTTTTGTCGAAAACCAAATAATTAAAATAATTTTCTATTTCCCTTGCTTAAAACCGTTTAGAAGGAGGAAACGGCATGTGTCTGCGCACCAGGATTTGTTGGAGACGGTTTCAGCTGCCTTCCCCAATGCAGCGCACACACGTGTCAACCTTTCAGCCGATGCAAAATCAGGAAAGGCGGTAAGTTGGATCCTAGTGACTAGACCCTCCAGTTATTCTATTCTTTCAATGTGAGTACGGTAAGAGTTTGCATGACCTTCTATGGAAGGGCAAGATTTGAGTATATGACTTTATCCGAAAGGACTCGACGCTAACGCCTCCTTTGAAACGGCCTCACGGAAGTCGAATCATGATGCTTTTGATCGCAAGTGTCTCAATGACATTGCTTCAGCACTTCTGAAATCGACATGCATCTGTTTGAAGATTTTTTTTAAGTAATTCTCAGATACATTGCAGCCGTTTTCTCAAACATGATACCCATTTAAGCTGTTTTATATCCATGAAGTTTGCTATTAGAAGCCTCCTTCATGCTGTTGAATTATTTTAATTACCGTAAAGTTTGGCCGATTCGACTTCAGCTCAAACAAAATTGTTGTAGGTTCAAAGTGCTAAAAATCACAAACCATCGCGTTTCATAGTTTAAGATAATGCTGAGCAACCATATTTTTTCATTTTTGCACAAACTTTTAACAAAAAATGCTTATAAGTGTGTTTGTGAAATCCCAGCTACTACTCAAACCACTACGCGGCTCTGTGACGTGATCGTTGATTAATTTAAACAAATTTGTTTGGACATAAATTTATAGTTATTTTAAAGTTTTGTAGAATTTTAAAGCTGAAAAGCTCTTAAGAAGTTGAGTCTTGTTTTTTATTCGAAAAGTACTTATTATCTCTAAAGTAGTATTTAACTGAACTTGATTATTACAATCCATTTTGAAATGGTGACACACGGAAGATGGTGAATTTTGTGAACATTGAGGAATGCGTTTATCTTGCCTACTGGATAGGGGTGGCAAAAGCTTTGCAGTTTTCTTCCCGCCTTTGCATCGAATAGAAGAGCTTAATAAGGAGTGCATTTTCTTAATGGTTTCTTGGAGC